CCCCAAAACCCCAAAACCCCAAAACCCCAAAACCCCAAAACCCCAAATTAAGCTATATAAATTGAAAAATAATCCTGTCTCTTAACAAATAAATATGACACTGAAATTAACTCCAGTATGGAGCCAGAAGTACCTGAAGGATGGCTTCGCTCCAGTCTGCAAATTCAGTAAGGATCCAAGAGACTCAGTGGTTGCTGCTGGCTTCGGTGACGGCAAGATGCTCATCTACGACTACGAGAAAGGTAAGCAAAGAATTTTTGAGGGAATATTTTTCTGAAAAGAAGGGTTCAAAGGCATCTTTATGAGCATTTTAAGCGGGAACAAGCCAAATATAATGGGCAAGGATGTTTAGGAATTTGATTGATTTTTTATAGCTACTGAACATGAGATTGGCACACATCTGTTCTCAGTGAATGATCTGGACTGGAGCAATTCTTATAATTATCTTCTTTCTGGAAGCGATGATACACTCGCTTGTATTCATGATCTCAACATTGCATCGACTGGGAGTGATGATTCAGAGGTTTATCAGAGAGAATTAGATAGAAATATTGAGATTGATAAAAGTTTAGTAAGAGTTTTTAAAGCCCATACTCATCATGTTACAAGTGTTGCATTTGATTCAGGTTCAAGCCTTGTTCTGACAGGAAGTGTAGACAGGATTAGTTATCTCTGGGATATCAGGTCAAGCCACTATATTCATAAAATTGAGGATCATGCAGTTGAGATCTATGGAGTTGATATCTCACAAGATGGCTTGCTAATACTCACAGCTGGATGTGATGGCTATGTAAGACTTTGGGAGACTAGAACAGGGTTATGATTAAAGACGATTAAGGTTGATCTGACTCTGAAGATTGGAAAATGATTCTTTACTCCTGACTCTAAAGCTATCATAGCTAATAATGTCGATAAATGCATTTCTGCTTATGATATTGAGAATTCAATGCTTATTAAGAGATTTGAAGGCCATAAGATTCATAGTGGATATTATTTAAAGCACTGAATTCACTATGATAATGATGATATTTACATTTTGTCTGGTGGAGAAGATGGATGATTATATGGATGGGATATTGAGGACTCTAATCCTGTATTCAAAGCGAACATCCTAAAATCGAGTAGACAGCTCGATCTTCCTCATCATAAGATTGATTCTCAAGTCGAAGTCGAGATCCCTGGAGAAGATGATACCTCTCAGGCAATTATCACTTGTGTTGATTCATCTAAGGAGAAGCAATTAATCAGTTGTGTTGATAGTTTCAGAAATATCCATGTATCCAAGCTAGCATCCGATATCTAAGATGTTTTCAATAATTCTTCTATATAATGGGGTTTTGGGGTTTTGGGGTTTTGGGGTTTTGGGG